TTTTTGTATTATTTTATAATTCTTTTATTTAGATTTTTTGTTTTTTATGAGGCTTACGCTTCAATCCGCCTCGCCTCATAAAAAAAAAATCGCCTCAATACTTAGTTTCGCATTTTTAAACCTTGATAATAACAATAATATCTCTTTAGACGACCAATTTTACAATTGATGGGGATGCTTTGGTTCCTTATATATAGTCATTGACCTTGCAAGTATCTGAGTTATGACATATTTAATCATCGATGTCTAAACATTCTCACCCATATGTACTTTCTTGTGACAACAGGAAATTTTATGTGCTATAAATGAGAAAGCAATTGACCAGAACAATGCATAGTTCAAAATACTCCATTTCTAGCGAAAAGAGTAGCATACCATTTGTCGGGCTTGCGGTGGAGCTTTTGCTTGCGTGGTAACTGACCTCATACAATTGAAGTTTGGTAATGTGGAAGCCTAAACAACAGAGAAAAATGTGAATTTAAAGAATTGAAGGCTTAGAAACATGTAAAGAGTGTGGAGGGAAAAAACTTTCTAGTTTATCCAGTATCTAAGAATTGGTGATGCATGAGAGCAAAGCACAACTCTTTCAGATATTTTGGCAGCCATTCATTATTTAACCAAACTCAACTCATACAAGATTTGTGAAAAGAAAATTTGACATGTTCAATAGCCAAGTAACTAATTTCACAGTCCAGAAACTTACCCTCATCAATTGACGTTCATCTGGGTCTCTAAAAGTCCAAGGAAGCCCACAAGAGCCATTAGTTGCGCAATATGCAATGCTTCGATAAAAACCTTGAGGAACTAATAAAATGACCAAAAACCATGCCTCAATATCATAAATACTTCCATAAAGGGAAACAGACTGAAAAACACCCAGGGTATCCTAAACTGGTAGAATAAGAACAAGACTGCATAATTGGTATCAGATTAATATTGTACATTTATTATTCCATGGAAGAGCATTCTGCAAAAAGGCGCAAGAGGAGTTGCTCCAACATTTAGAATCTGTTCACAAAAACAAGGTAAAAAATAATGATGAAACGCATCTTGTAATAACTTAATACATAAGTACTTCAGAATGAAAGAAACGTATTATTAAAAGAAGACACACATTCTACATTGTAAAAATCAGAAAGAATATTATTTTTTCCAATTGAAGGTTTATATTATTTTTAACTATCAACTAGATTATAAAGTTGAGCAAGAATTTCATTAAATATTTATAAATAACGAATTTAAAGAATTAATGCATAATCCATTAATAATTCCACTGGAATTTCAGTAGCCATAAACAATCTATAAATTTCGCATAAATTTAATGGAACTTATAAAAATTACCAGTGAAGACTAAAGTTGAGTAACATTCTGAGCTTCTGAACCTGCAAATACGGACAAGTGTGTTCATATATACATTATTTTCCTTGTGTTAACTTACTAAAAATGTAGTGTGCTTACGAGTGGGAAAATTGGAGAATTTTAACTGCTTGATTTAAATGCCGAACGGCTTGTAATCGATTAAGGGCCATAAATTAATTTGATTTGAGAGCGCGGGCGAACAACGCAGGGTGGTGGTGGTGGTGGTGGTGGTGGGTGAGGGTTTAAAAGGGTTTTCGAAAAATTCATTCTCTTCGCATTTTTTTTATAGTGGTCTATATTTTTTTAATTTCATAAAGGTCCCTAATCTTTCATAAGAATTTTAATTGGATCAATATACTCAATTTGTTTATCATTCCTAGTCTTCATTCTCTTTTGATAGCCTGTTAAAGCCCAATTTTAATAATACATTTGGAATAGTAAATTAACGGGAAATATGTGTTTAATAAGAAATAAAAAATTGAGTTTGTGTGTAACGTTATTTTATTAAAAAATATGTAATTAAAAAGAATAGAAAAAAAATGTATTTTGAAAATAATGATAATCAAACAAAAACTTAATATGGTAAGATTTTAGAATTGAGCTCTTTAACCTTTCAGCTACTGTGGGATCTGTATAAGACCGTCAAAAGTGAGTTTTGACTAATTAATGTATTCGAACATGTGATATTATGCTCATATTTGGTTTAGATAAAAATTAAATTTTTAGTAAATTGTAATAAAATTGATAAAATATGATGTTAAAAAATTGATAAAAGTTACGAATCTCATAAAATATCTGACTAGAAATGAATTTGAGAAATAATGAATTTAAAAAATGGAAACAAACATAGACTAAGCCCCTGTTTAGTCCAGATTAAAATCCGATTTTAATTCAAGTCAAAATCAAACAATCAATATTAACCACATCTTTCATGGGTCCAACAACTTTTCAACCACACATTTTAAAAATTTCTATCACAATCTACTAAAAATCAAATTTTAATCTCCACCAAACACCCTCTGAGCCCTTGTTAGAGACTTTTTTAAAAACTCATTTTTAATCACAAATTTTTCGAAAAAATAATTTCATACGTAAATCGAAATTTTTTCTTCCTTTTTAATTATAGATTCTCTAAAAAATTACCATTCAAAATACATTTTTCTCCAAAATAGAGCTTAAACAAGGGCTAAATATGTATATAACAAAAATAATTGACAATTACAAGTCATGTTTTTTAAAATGATGATTATGTCCTTGCTTAGAAGTAAGTCCCTGATATGTAGGGATTAAAATTTAGATTTTAATGTAAGTAAAAACCAACGATTAATTTGAACAACATATCTTATGGAATCTTTAATTTTTTAATCATATATTTTATCAACATATAATTTTATTCACCATCAAGCAGGAGTTAAATGTTATATCAACAAGACAACCATAACCATTCTATCCTACAAGTTTAATAGCCTAGAACGAATTGTTTCCTTGAATTCTGTTCTAGGTGCGATCGCGAGAAGCATTGTTGTGACCGCAACCCTGCTTCCACTTTTATCCGTGTAGTTGTAGTCCCCGATTGTTGTGCAGTTCGGTCTCCAAATGGAGATTTTCATACATTTCTGGTCCCTTCAACTTTAAGTCACCCAAATTAGGTCCTATCACTTTCTATTGCTTCCATATTGATCCTTCATCTTCCAAATTCCTCTACTTTGGTCAATAGACTTTTATTTATTTTATTTTTTTAGAATGATCATTAAAAGTGTTGAGAATGTTCGAGTTGGTCCCCTAACTTCTCCAATAGTATGGTCTTCCCAATACTTGTGAATCCATCCAATTTGTACTTTTAAAGCTTCCAAACAAGTTCAAACTTCCCAGTAGCTTGTCAATTTCATCCTTAAAACTTGAATTATGTTCCAATTCACCTTCTTTACGCTAGTTTGACCTTCAAGTTGAGGTTTTCACCTTTAAAAGCAATACACACACTAAATTAAGTAAAATCGCCTCAACTCATTGATATTACACAAGTTTAGAGAGTTCTTGGAACATGAATTTAAAGATTGACTTTTTAAAATATAGAGTATCTCATATTTAAAGAGTATCTTGTAGATGACTAGTATCTTTATTTTTTTCTCTCTTCATATTCAACCAACTTTATTGTAGTAGATTTTCCAAGGAATAACACTGATAAGAAAATGATTAAGAACAAGTCAACAAGTATATACGTTGATCTTATTTTAACACCAAAAGAATCTTTCTTTACTTTTTAGCTCTAAACTGACTACCTACATTTTGCTTATCAACCAAAAGATTCAAATCGTAACACAAAGTACATTTGAATTTTCAGTACAACTACAATATTAGAGTATACCAGATTTTTTTCATCAAAATATTGTTTTCCAAGTAATGAATGCATTCCAAACTAGAATTCATAGTCGATCTCGCGAAACCACAGCAATTCGTTGGGGACGATGGACCAAATACTTAGTCGAGTTGTAATTCTCTGCATCCAAAAGTTCTTCTGAGTATGTCCTTCGAAGGAAATGCTTTGGACAATTTCGGTTTTTTTCTTCACCTTTGAGCAGTCTAATCACCTATAAGTAATGACAAACCAAAAGTATTAGAGTTGTTTCTCGATTTAATTCCAATGCTTTCAGAATCAGTAGTAACAATGATGTACCATAACGACTCCTAAAATTGATAACTAACTTAATTGATTTCTTTAAATCCCTTTTCTCTACTCAGTATTGCATTTCTCTTGGCCGCAATGTTAGCAAAATTGCCTTTAGCTACGAGCAATTTCTCTTTTTAAAGTCAACTTCAAGCCTATAAATGATCAATTGAACTAGTTCACGAATGGTTTAACAAAATGAAATGTATTTATATTTCAATAATAACTCACCAAGTAATCAAATCCACGTGGATCTTACCTTGGCCGTAAATGGAATTTTGGGGTTTGAGATGAACTTCAGAAGTTGGGCCCCCAAATCGCAGTATGCAAATTTTTTTTCCCATTTTAAGAGTTTTATGGAACTAAATCTATTAACTTAAAAATCAATAATAAAACTGTAAACAAAATGCAATATTCGAAATATTTATATTATAATCAAATAGTAATGCTGAAAATGTTCCAAATGATCATTTAGATGCTACTAGTGTTGAAGTTTATGACATAACAAAACAGTAAGAACATTTGGACAACATTTTGATAATTTCTACAAGTTATTTACGGATTTAGTAGTTCTCATGCCTAGAGGTGGAGCACGAGTTTTAAATTGTGCCTCATGGTGGTAGAGAGGATCACAATAATAAAATAATAAAACTTATTTTATTAAAAAACTTTGTTTTAAAATTTAAATATATGGAAAAAAAATTTGACAACATTGCATTAAAAAAAAATCAAGTTTTGATTAAAACAAACTCAAAAAATAAAAATAAAAATTGTGAAAATAAATGGAAATGAAAGTTGTCTATGCACATGAATACAAAAATAAAGGTTCAAATATAATTCCCAATATATAAATAAAGAAAAAAAATACAATTATATTTGAGTAAAGTGAAAAAATTGAAAAACCCACCATCCTTCGAATATTTACACAATTTTATTCTCACATGACCATGCACTAAACTATATTTTGATGAGATTTGTGCATAGAAAGGTGATTGAGTAATTCTTATCTAGATTTTGAAATTGAAAATGATAGAAATATTTAGATCTAACAAGATTAAGTATAGAATATAGTGTTCTATCAATTTTACCTTTCTAAACATTAGGAAATCAAGGCAAAAGTTGACAAAATAATGTAAAAAAGACAAATTATGCTAGTGGAAATAAATGTCAAAGAAATGAAAGTCATTTTTAAAGGTTGGGATGAATTTATTGGAGACTGTAAAAGTTTTGGACTGATTGAACAAATTTCTCAGAAGGAAAAAAAAAAAAAGAAAAAGAAAAAGAAAAGGAAAATGGCTGGACGGTAGTTGGGATTTGATCCCATATTCCCACAATATACTCTATCAAACCTAGAAACTTTACAACTAAACTATGACGTGTTGTCTATGTGGATCGAGGAGAAAAGGGGCTCGGTGTGTACATGATAAAAGCAAGGAGGTATAATTATAAGAATAAAAGTATCATTTTAAAAGGAAAATAAGAAAAAAAAAATTAAAATTTTTGGGCTCACAAAAGTTTTAGGGCCTAAGGCGGTCGCCTCGCGGGCCTCACCACAGGCCCGGCCCTAGATCTTACTAATGTATCCACTATTTTCACTTGTAAGTTCTCTCTCATACTTCTATGGACAACTGCTAACATACTTTCAATCCAGTCCTTGATGTGTTCCATTGATTATTTAGGCTTGAAGTTGGCTTCGAAAAGATAAATTGTTCTTAGCTAAATGCAATTTTGCTAACGGAGCGGCAAAGAGAAATACAAGAAAGATGAAAACAAGAGGCATGCCATAAGCAAACATGATGATAGGTGTGTAGCAGTTTTGTCATTTTCAACAACCAGAGCATAAAAAAATGTTCTAAAAAAGGTTTTGCTTATAACAGATAAAATTCATAATTTGATAACTTTTGTTATCTCAACTTCGCTCAGTAACGAATTACCCCTATGCCTAATTGTCATAGCCGGCACGCTCAGAGATAAGCGGAATAGATACATGATTGAGCTACCTCACTCAAATAATTGACATAATATATTAAAATTATGGAAAATAAAATATATATTTCTATAAAATAATTACTTGCCTGGCTCATGTGAGGTCGACGAACGGGATTCTGTTCAACACATATTGTGGCTGTCAAGAGTACACAATCCATCTCTTGTTGATCATAATTATCTCCAAGAGAAGGATCCACAAGCTCCTTAACTTCATTTTTATCAAGAAACGGCTTTGCCTACAATTTGATACATGCATAAGGGTAGTTGAATGGTGTTGACATGTGGCCTTGTCAAATGTAATGAACGAATGATCTCTGTTTGGGCTCCATTAGGGAAAAATGTATTTTGGAATAATGATTTTTTGGAGAATCTGTGGTTAAAAAAGAAGGAAAAGTTTTGAATTTACGTATAATAATATTTTATTGAAAAATGTGTGATTGAAAAGAAGAAAGAGAAAAATGCATTAAAATTAAAATGGAGCCCAAACAGGGGGCGAAATATAGATACCCAAAGCACAAGGCTTCTCCGTGAATCATCCAGCGCTTGGCGTCCAGTAATAAGCTCCAAAAGTAGGACTCCGAAAGAAAACACGTCCGTTTTCTCATCCACAATCCCATGCATGAAGTACTCCGGAGCAAAATAGCTGTCAGTGCAGGGTAAAACGAACAACTGCTCATTTGGTTAGCTGAATATATTGTGTAAAAAGAGGCCCTAAAAGATTTCAAATTAGATTGAAGGGATTACGGACCCGAATGTGCCTTCAAACTTTGAGACATGGTGATGGGACCACTGTTTGGGCAGCCATTTTGCAAGGCCAAAATCACAAATCTGGATTGGAAATTGGCAAAGCTCAGTGGTTGGAGGACTACTTACCAAAATAAGATTACAAAACTAAATTCTAGGCCATTGTATAGAAAGCTTTTACATAAACTAATCTTTCTTAAGCCATTTCTTCATACCAAGCACAATTTATTTAGCCTTTATTCAGGTTTGGCAGTAAGCGTCGGAGAAGGGCAATCACTCATTCTTAAAACCAGCGTTCTTAGGACTGGCTTTGATGACTCAAGGTTCACATTAGGGAAAGGAGAGTGAGGGGAAGAGGGGGCAGCCCTCGGCCCGATCATCCAAAGAGTCGGGTGGAAAATTTAGCAGAAAAATTACATCTTAGTCATAAACCACATAATGAAACTTATCTAAGAATAAATTTACCTGTGGCTCAAAATCTTCTGTAAGTAAGATATTATCAGCCTTGATATCTCTGTGAATGATTCGCCTTTGGCAATGCTCGTGAAGATACAGCAGGCCATCAGCTGTCCCAAGAATAATCTTATACCTTGCCCTCCAATCTAGTATTTCCTTAGAACCTAAAAGAAGTATAGAACTGGTTGGATGTCATATCCTTAAGAAGAATTAGTTCCCGGGATAAAAAGAATTAAAGTGGAATTTCTGGCTGAACATACCATGAAGAAGTGATCCTAAACTCCCTAATGACGATAACTTAAGAACAAGATACGTTCCTCCTTCAACTCCATAGCCAATCATCTTAGCTGTATTAGGATGATTTACATGTGCAATTATGCCAATCTCAGACAAAAAGTTTATTGTCTGTTCTTCTGATGTTCCTTTATTGAGCTGCTTAATGGCTACAAGCTGTCCGTCTGGTAAACAGCCCTTATAAACTTCAGCATAACCACCCTTGCCGATTAGATTTTCTGGTCCAAAAACATGAAGAGATCACCAAAGTAATTTGTCTACAGTCATTCTTATAACTTATAAGCAATAACACATTTGATGCAGAGAACCATGAATTTCAAGAACGAACGGTGCAGGGGACACAGGCGCTCGCATGAGCAATCTGAATTCAATTGCATACCTTGGCTAAAATTGTTGGTTGCAGTCAGCAGGTCGTTCAGTGTAAAGTTCTTCCAGGCAGAATTGACAGGGCATACATCCTTCTCTACATTTTCTCTTGTACTTCTACTCTTTCTTCTTGATAATATTGGCACGAGTGGAGGGAAAGAGGGCAATCGCTTTGTAGAACCTCTTTTCCACACTTTAAAAAATCTGTGCCAGCGAGAATGCCCTTGTGAAATCGACAGGAAGGGTTTACAACCTGACGTTTTACCTGGTTCATTTTCCAGGTCTGCTTCATTTTCTAAGCCTCTTGTGCACGCCTCGATAACTCCTCTGGGAGACGAATGATCTAGTCTTTCCTTCTCCACCTCAAAACATCTCAAGTCTACAGCAAAAAAAGCATTCAAAATGGTGAACATTTAAGTTATTAACTTGAACATGATAAGTCGAGCCACATAATTATGTTGTCACATTACCCTGAGCCGATGCAGAGGAAGGTAATGAACAAGTGAACTTTTTGTATGTTGCTAAAACAGCGTTGCTATTTAAGGTTTTCACTGTTACAGTATTGGCATCGTTCCAAGTTTTCCTGCACCGTAATATTCAGTTTCTAAAAAAATAGAAGCTCAAGATAGAACTATAAAACCAATCCAAGACACATTAAAGTTGTGTATGAGCCTTAGTTTCCACTTAGCATTCAGAAACATGCAGAACTTCCAAATGAAGTCATTTACAGCTAGAAACCTTACCTATAAAACCAATCTACACAAATAATGTAAGGGAAGGGACTAATACAATCTAGAATTTGCAGCATTGATAAACGTTCTTAGATTCCAACAAAGGTGAACAAAATTTTTAGCATTTAGATGTGAGATATGGACACAAGTTAATTTACACAAAAGAAAGAAGAATTGGAGAAGTAATAAGTTATAAATGCAATAATGTGAAAATCATAAGATCTGTCAGATGATATTAATTTAAGTAAAAATTATTCGGATGTTCTCCTGTTCCAAGTTAAATAGTGAAGTCAACTATGTATTTATTGATAAATCAAAATTCACTTGCTAAATTCTGCAAGAGTATTCTCAGTGATTCCAAGGAATATATAAATCAATGAAAAGCAAGAGAACCAGAAACAGAAAAAGAAGTTATAAGTCAATGAATGCAAAGTTCAACAAAGCATTCGATCAATGCAATGTTTACGGTTTCTCGATAAGCAAAACTTTTAGAAGCAAATCAGAGATATAAACTTGAAACTTTTTTTTTTCCTTAACCGGATCTTTACGTGAAGGCACGTAAATTCTCCAAGAACGAGATTTATCAATCAATTTACCGATAACAAACTTCGCAGAGACACTCCTTAAAGAAATCACCCTGGCCTTATACATAACAAATTCACAAGCAGATCCACTTGAGTGAATGACCGGATGACCAAAACACACATTCAAAGTGGGTCGTGTTGAAGTATGCTTTCACTTACTCTACTCTCGAAACCGAAACCATAATCATTAGCCTACCAACACTTCACAACACATCCAGTGTCCATCCGGCTGCCACCCCAGAGTATCTTGTTCCTTGTCATTCCAATTTTATCTCTCTAAATGTGTTATTTCTAAACTTTGAACATCAAACTACTCAAATGATCTTAAAATATAAAATATCCAAAACCTCAACATGGATCTCAAGAAAGGGATAAACGACAACATACAAAATCACTTATTTTACGAGGAAGAATAATGAATTTGAATCAAATGCAATAGCTTTAAAACTTACAGAGGACGAGGAGGATGATGGTCTTGTGGACCCGGAGCAGCCATGTAAAATGACTAAAGAGAATCCCAGCAACCCGAGAAATGTGCTAAACGGTAACACCCACTCACCATTGCTTCGTTTTCAGCTATATAAATCCCTGTGTAATAATAATAAATTAAATATAGATAGAAAAACTTGCCATATGGGTAAAATAATTAATAGATTTGATGTTCTCCAAAGCAAAGGCAATTACACACAGACAAAGGGAAGTTTCCGTTGAAATCGCGACTTGGAGGGAATATACAGAAAAATAAAGAAAACATCCTACTTATACTCTGGGCCAGTCAGCTATCACCTTCTATTTGTGAGAATGGTGGCAAAAAGCCTTTTGATCCGGTTTTACCACTATGAATTTTAAGTATTTTTCTTATTTACTTAAATAAAATTATATAAATAGGTTTTCGATATACATTTTACATACAAAATTTTATTGTCCCACCATAAATATAAATATAAATATAATTTTTCTTTCTTTTCTTTCAACGGCTGTCCACAACTTTTCTGACAACGTCTTTTTTGTTTCAATTAAGTTGAATGTACAGAATTTTTGTGTTAGAGGTTCTACAGAAGACTGACATGGATGTGGGTCCCATCTGATTTAAATATTATTAAAAAAGTGGGCCCCACATGTTTGTCTCTCCCCTGTATTTCTTCGTTTCTGTACGACAATGATTTCTCTTTTTTGTTTCTCCATGGCGACACATAATTACATGAACACCAATATTAAAAGCTTATAAATTAAAAGCACACTTAAACAACGGTCTTCAACATTGAAAAGGAGAAATTCCAAATTAAAAGTATTTGTTTCACTTTTAATCCGACTACAGTTATTATTCGCAAAAACGACTGGAGTCTATCGAATGTTAGTAGGGGTGGGCGTGGGTCGAGTCATGTCAGGTGGGGTCGGGTCGATTTTTTACTCAACCCAAACTCAACTCAATATAGTCGGTTTGATAAAAAATCAAATCAATCCAACTCATTTATGTGTTTCAACCCAATCCAACCCAACCCAGCCAAATTAAGTTTCGATCGGGTTGGTCGATTTGGACATTAAAAATCATAAAAGTATATTCCGACAATAAAAACCTATCAACCATATGAAATGCATAAATAAAAAATACTAAAGAAAGAAAATAGAGGCATCTTGTACTTGTAATTAAAATTGCATTTGTTTTCAAATCAAAACTTAACAAGAAATGAGAAAAATTAATCAAAAATCCACTACAACTACTTTTTAATAGCATAACCACAAGTTAAATTATAAACTTGGAATAATCATAGATATTCGGCACAACTTCGTAAAGATTTTAAAGTGCAAAAGTTCTAAAAGATTTTTACCAACAAATTTTAGCAATTAAGAAATTTACAAAAAAAATACTTTCCCATTTCTTGATGAGAAAATAAGATAGGCGACGACGAGTGAACTTAAACTGTGGGAGAGAGAGAGAGGAGAAGGATTATTAGGTTAGGGTTGTGTACTTGTGTTTTGTAACTTGTTTATCTCGTGACTTTTGTCTTTTGGAATGGAGTTGCGTCTTTTTTTTTTTTTTAAACTAAGTGGGCCGAGTTGGGTTAAATCGATTTTCTTGGATTAACCTGACCCGACCCGACCCGCCCCGCCTTCTTTGCCCAAAACTCAACCCAACTATAAAATATATAAAAAAATCGACCCAAACCAGCGGTTTGGACGGTTTAGGCAGGTTAATTTGGGTTTTGCCCGAAACTACTGCAGTCATTCAAAAGACTCAAGTCATTTTTAAAGAAATGACTTGAATCTTTTAAAACGATTGAAGTCATTTTTCTTTGAATTTGATATCTATTCTTCAACATTCAACGTATTTCGTTTAAAAATGTATATGAAGACGAACTTTGTTACATACATACATTTCATCGTGCTCCATTATGCATTGTTCAAGTGTCGCATTCGGTTTTTAAGTGTACGACTCACAATTGATTTGGATAAATTAACTATCACATATAATGAAAGACGAGATGCCAATCGAACTCGTAGCCTTTTAAACCATGTTTCATTTCAACATATTTTGTTTAAAAATGTATAAGAATATGAACTTCGTTATATACAATTCATCGTACCCCATACACACTATTCTAGTATATACCTACATCTTAGACCGTGTTTGATTTTAATATATTTTGTTTAAAAACGTAGAGGAAGATGAACTTCATTAAATACAATTTATCATACTCCCTTGCACGCTGTTCAAGTATATCGTATTTGGTTTTTAAGCCCATGTTTGAGCCACATTAAAATTTTCATTCTCATTGTTCTACTCATTTTCAATCACTCATTTTTCAATAAAATAATATTTTTTATCACATCAATAACTTTCCCTTCTTTTTCAACCATACATTCTTTATCAATCTACTATTCCAAAATACATTCTTTCAAAATAATATGGCTCAAACACACCTTAAGTATATATCTTACAATTGATTTGGATAAATTAAACAATAATGCTACTCAAACATAGGCTTTGATCGAAGGGGTAACCGAGTGACGTGGAAAATGGGTTTAAGAAAATAAAAAAAATGAAATAGAAAAGGGAAAGTTATTCAAAAGCTAGTCAAAACCCATTTCCTCCACCGATCCCGCTACAGGTACACGCTGACCTGGCGACCCGGCCCAGATAAAAAATCCCCAAATTGATCGATCCATTCCTCTTCTTTAAAATTCACTCCCCCAAATTGAAGAGCAAACACGATCGACCCATTTCCCTTCTTTCAAATTCACCTCCCCCTCCCCGAATTCTCGATTACCGTCGATGGTGACGGCGAAGGAACCCCAACCCCCTACTTCAACGGCAACGGCGAAGCTCCAGTACGAAGAGAGATGTCAGAAACTGCTGAAAAAATCTAACTGTAAACCCTACGAAGAGTGCGACGAAGAGTGAATCTCCTAAAAGCCGTCTCTGAGTGCGAGGAGAACTCGAAGGAATCTTCCAAAAATCGTCGGATTTGTTTGGGAAGGTATGAATTGGTGACACATATTTCCAAGTTAGCAGTGTTTGAAGTTTTCCATTTTAGTAGTGTGTTTGAATTTTTCCAACTGAAAACGACTGGGCAACTCTGTTTGAATTAGCAGTGTTTTCAAGTTACCACTGTAATTTACGGATTAGCAGTGTTTGAATTCTTCATTTGCTCATTGTGCAAGCAATGTTAAGTTGATTAATTTGTTGTATGTTGTTTTGTTGTGTGGTAGAATGACAGGAAGGAATGCCGGAGTGTGCCATAGCTGTAGGTCCAAGGGGCATTTCTTTGCGGATTACCCGAATAAACGACGTTGCCCTTGGTGTAAACATGGCTTCGTGAAGTGCTTTGAGGTCGAAAGGGAGACTAAGAACAAGGGCAAATTGTTCAATTGCTGCACTGCTAAGTGTAGGTACTGGGAATGGGTGGATAAAGCAGAGTCAAGCGGGGAATCATCCAATACCGTCACTGCTAACTCAGACAATTCTACATTAATCGAAGAAGAACTTCAGCAGATAAATCGTGCATTCCAATCTTGGTGTCGGGTAGTTGAAGAAAGAAACATTGAGATTTCAATTAATGTCACAATACGCAAAGGTAATGGAAAGGTGGAAGTGGATAGGAAAGGGAAGGGACCGGATTGATGTCTTGTGTAAAATGTGGTGTAGATGCCAGATGGTGTCACAATTCAGATTTTGTGTATGAATTCAATTTTGGAAATTCTCATTGTTTGGTGATAACTATTGGAGAAAACAAAATATTTCCAATTTATGCCATAACCTTAAAATTCTGCATTTCAAATAAAAATGTGACATTACAATGAAGTCACTTACAACACTGTTAAGAAATCATATTTCGATCTTATACACCATCATGAACATAAACTAGTCATACACAACAAGCCAGACATAGGCAACAAACACATTGATCTATCTATATTCCAATACCAAAAAAACTTCCAACACCAACATAAATTGAGGCAACTTGTCATATTCTTGCGCCACGTTGGTCTGGTTCGTTTGGACCATTGAGCATAACCGGTGTTGACGACGGAGTCGTGAAATGGGGAGCCCCTAAGTGTTGTGTGAGCACAAGCATGTTCTCATCACCCTATACCAAGCAAACATGTAAGCAACTTCATTGGAAAATTGAATAAAAAATATAATGTAATAAAAGAAGTACGAACCTGTAAGAGTTGTGAATATGAGATATGCGAAGGCATAATGTACTGTGGTTGAAGGGGTGACTGAGCAATCGGTGCCCCGCCTCCCGTTTGACATGGTGGTTCGCTCCGTCTCCTTCCCTTTGCGTGCATAATATGGTCTAAGTTAAAAATCATTACTAATGTACGCGTAATATGCTACAAATTTTAATTTTAAAACATACCTTGCCGGTACTAGAACTCGATTCCAAAGGGCCTTTCTTACGAAGTTTCTTAGGCGCGCCTTTTCTCTTTGAGCATGCTGGATCTTGTATGATGCCCCTGCCAGAATGCTGGGATGCTTCATTCTCCAAATATAAATGGGCCATATCATTACTTCCACAAATGGAGCTTTTCTTTCTTATTGTTTGTTTCTTGCATTCTATCCACTCCAATATGTCTCGTGCTTGCTCGTCGTCATCTGCAGTCATGTCCGCAAGCGAAGCAAATGTCTGACACATGTTGTCATATCTCAACTGTCCCGGAGTGCTACTTAACCCATCATAGTTTACTGCAACCCTCGTGTGAGCTCTACTCACATCTCTCCTCCATCTACGTAATATGTAAGTGTCCGGTAGTGACTTGATATTATTACGGATCAGCACAGCGATCGCATGCCTGCAAATTATTCCGCGAAACTCAAATAAGTGGCAAGTGCAAGCAATATCACATTTTTCTTTTTGAAACGTGACGGAAAATTTTTTCTTGTCGGCATACTCATCACGTATTACGTCCTCCAAAACCTCGTAAATCGTACCTGAAAAATACTCTGTGACTGATATAAGGTCACAATAAATCTTTCCAATGAACTCATCCTGAACCTCTCGAAATTTCGAGATGGTGTACACTTGTTGAAACTGCTTTTCCATCTCAAACTTCGTCACACAAGGTACCATCTGTGAGAAACATTTGAAATCTCCTAAAACTCCTTCTCAACCTTACTCCTCAATGCCCGCTCATATTGTTCGACAAACTGCTTAAGCGACGTTTTCGAATGCACATACCCATCGAAATACGCATTCATACTCTCACTACGTTGAGTTGTCGACATTCCCGCCCAAAAACTATTTTTTAAGTAACAAGGTACCCAACGATTTTTGTTCGCGTACATTGTTAACAACCAACCATTATCTCCCAAGTTAAATCTAATGATCATCGCTCCCCATCCTTCTTCAAATTCTGCAACAGTTTGAGAATCATACACCAATACATGTATCTTAGAAAATATCGCACTCTTGTCGACATAATATCCAAACTTTTCTGGCAACTTTTTCAAAATGTGCCACAAACACCATCTGTGCCTAGTATTCGGAAACACTATCTCAATCGCATTTTGCATAGCCCTGTCCTGGTCTGTTATAATTCCATGAGGAGCCTGTCCATACATGCACTGAAGCCAAGTCCTGAAAAGCCACACAAATGATTCGGTTGTTTCATTCGCAACCAAACCACAACCGAGTAATATTGACTGGCCATGATGATTAACTCCAACAAAAGGTGCAAATGGCATGTCATACTTATTAGTTAAATACGTGGTATCAAATGTGATGACGTCGCCAAACTCCTTATATGCTTGTCTATTCCTATTATCGGCCCAAAAAATATTCCTCAACCGCGACTCTTCATCTAAATCCATACTGGTGTAAAAACCCGGGCACCTTGCTTGCATCTTAGAAAAGTAAGCTTGTATAGCCACGGCATTGCCATCCCCAAGTCTTAACCACCTCACCTTTTCAACATAGTTTCGGCAATCCTTTTCCACACAAGCAATATTCTCATACCAACCCACTTCTACGACTGCGGAGTTGTAACTTTTATGCAATGGAATCCCTGCCAGATCGTTCACTTCAAGCCGTCTTTTAACATGAGCTTTCAATTCTCGGTTACAACGGTACAATCTTGACTTCGAAGGACTGGTTTTATGATTGTGATTGAGATTGACCGTGTTAATTCTCCATATTCCAGATGCATCTGCAGAAGCAGTAAGTTTGGCATTGCAACCTGTTTGCATGGTTGCATGTGCCTTCAAAGAACCGCTAGGATTATAGTTTCTGCATCCTTCACGGCTACATGTGAGCGCAATATATCTTACAACTCCATGATCATCCTTTGCTGAGTTTCTTCTTCTAACCGGAAACCCTAAGTCGTACGCATATGTATTGTAAAACTGTAAAATTTCATTTTCATTATTAAACTTCATACCCACCACAGGTACAATTGAGCAATCTACTCCTTCAAGCCCATCATCAACTAAGATCACACTTTCCAAATTGTTCCCAGATTGTGAGAAAATATGTTCCTCCACCTCTTCCAAACTTCCATTCGCTGCAATGACAGAAAAGCCAATTGAAATTTTTTTCTGCGAGAATGAAACTGGGAAAATTATGGAAATGAAACTATGAAAATTATGGAAATGAAATGAGTTGGCATTCCTTTTTTTGCGAAAATTTGAACTGAAATTTTAAACTTTTATTAAATCTAAACTCCATCATCAACATTACATTTAAACTCCAGAAATGAACTTAACAGGCCGAATCTTCATGTTCAAAACATTAAACTCTAGAATGAAATTTAAATCTAAAGATTTGGAATTTGTTACCCAACCAAAATGCCCAAGCGAACTGACCGAATCTTCACGTTCAGAACATTAAACTCCAGAATGAAATTGATTTGGAATTTGTTACCCAACCAGAATGCCCAAGCGAACTGATTAAAACCCGTCGAGACAATAGACTTGCCGACTGGAAATGATGAAGAAAACTGAAAGGGATGAGAAATACCTTTCGAAGTCATGCCTACAAAATAGCCGTTTGCAGCCGGCGAGAACGATCTTCGATCTCCGGTGAATAGTCGGAGTGAAGGAGATGGCTTAATAAATCGGGTTGTAGAGGTTTGGGGGTGAGAGCAGTGTTTCAATTTTTATGGTTTTTGTTTCCCGGTTATTTGCTCCAAGTATGTGGGTTTCCCTCTTTTTGGTCTCTTTCATTTCAATTGGTTTTTGTTTTCTTTTTTTTTTTTTTTTGAAAAAAGCTATTCCACGTCAGCGTGTAAAATGCAGGTAAGTTTGACCCAGGTACGTATAGCTTTTTTGTTCCTCCACTGTAGCTCATAATTGAAGCGGGCAAACATAGGCTCTTATTTTTTCCCCCAAATTTGGAGCGAAACCCTTTTGCTGCTCTCAATCTCCTTCTATCATGTGCCGAAGACCCTTCTGCTGCTCTGCATCTCCTTCTTTCCAGCGATGAAGCAGTCACCAATACCCATTTCGGTGGCTTGAGCTGCGAAACACATCAGTGGAGGATATCGAGCATCGGGTTTCTTCAAGAATCGTAAGTAAGAAAAAAAATTCCACAGCCATTGTTTTTAGAAAATCTACAATTAAAATGAAATCAAAATGGATAGAAAGGATTACTAAGAAGTTTCACTAATCTATTTATTTTTTTGCCTTTACCCCGTTCTCCGACAACATCAAAAACAAGGGAAAAGCTTGGGGACAACCAGATCTGGAGGAAAATTAGGTACATATGTATATATGTTATGTGAAAATCAACTAGATTTAGACACAAAAATTGTAGCATTGAGGGTGGAAATGTAGGAGATGAGGGTGAAATATGTATTGGTCCGTGGCAGTGGTTTATTTTTTATCTTATTATTATTTTTTTTTAATTCCATGGTTTGAAACTACGTTGAAAGCATGCTCACTGAATCGAGAGGTAAGTAAAAGTGTCCGTAAAGAAACACATCACCTTGTTCAGTAATCGAGCAAAGAGGTTAGGTTGATTTTTGAGCTACTTTTAGAGGGTTTTAATCTTGGTTAAATTAAAAGAGCTAGATGAATTTGACATCCTCAAAGAATCAGGCATTATGTTCGCGCTGTCGCCACTTCCAGCCACAATAAATGATAGAACTTCCTAGTTATTTTCCACAAAAGTTGCAGAAATGATATTAGGAGAAATGCTGCTTAGGTCTCAGATAAAGAAAAAGCAATACTTTTTAGATTCTGAATCGCTCTTTTCTTTCCTTTTTATCTTCTAACCATTTTTTCTTGTTATTTTAGTGAAGATAAATCCCAAAGTTGGATGCAGCCAAACTACAGAAATGTTTTAAGAAAATCATCGTGGTTCCATCCACTTGGGGCAACGCTTCTTTTATTTTTGTTTAGATACAAAATTCTGTCATCCCTTGCATAACTCAATATATATAAATCTGAATTAATATATGTTGTACTTATTATCTTATTTGGTGTTTGATTCCCAGCTAAAAATGAGAGGAAAGAATCATGGAATCTGTCATAGTTGTAGACTGAAGGGACTTTTTTTTGCTAAATTCCCGAACAAACGACCATGCCCATGGTGCAAACATGTCTTTTTGAAGTGTTTTGAGGTGGAGAAGAACACCAACAATAAAGGTAGACTATTCAATATGCGCAGCGTGAAATGTGAT